AGGTTGGCAGGGGGGTAGGGGCAAGACCAGGCCGGCAGGGGTCGGCAGTTGGGGGTGAGACCAGGCTGGCAGGGGACAGCCATTGGGGACAACCAGGCCTGCAGGAGAGGGCCATTGGGGCGACCAGGCCAGTAGAAGTGGGCAGTAAGGGGTTACCAGGCCAGCAGGGGGAAGCAGTTAGGGGCAACTAGGCCTATAGAGGCGGGCAGTAAGGGGCAACAAGGCTAGCGGGGGTGGGGGGAGGCATTAGGGGTGATCAGGCTGGCAGGCAGGTGAGCAGTTAGGAGCCAGCAGTCCCGGATTGTGAGAGAAATGTCCGACTGCCGGTTTAGGCCCTATCCCTGTGGGACATCCAGTTGGACATCCACCGAGGGATCCAGGATTGGATAGGGTGCAGGCCGGGCTGAGGGGAACCCCCACTCCATGCACAAATTTCGTGCACCAGGCCTCTAGTCTATATAATAAAGATAGAAATTATTACTACCTCATATGACATGAGTATTGAATAAGATAACATATGAAAAGCTTACAAAATCATTCACAAAATAGTGATAGTATCTACCATACAAGGTTGTGGTCATAATGGACATACAATTAGCCAAGCCTTTATTTAGCATGTGCCTACCCTAAATAGACCCGCAATTAAGGGTACTGTTGGGAGGGAAAATCGAGCTCTCTCCACCCATTTTAGTTGGATGTGTAGTCAGTCCATAGTCTAGAAACAAGACAGATTAAGGTAGTAGGTCATAATTACACAGTTTTCCTGTGAGAAACCTATTATACAATGTTGAGGAATAAGAGACAGGAACCACCGTGGTAATTCCATTTAATTATCATTTCCCATAAAACAAACCATTTTGAAGAACTGATTTCTATTAGGCCACATGCTACATTTTATTATTACATAAAATGCAATGGAGAATATGATGCAGCCCTTTGCTTTGGAGAAAACGAAGTGGGGAACTATAGACTTCACAATAAAGAAAGTTGGAGAATTAAAATTTCCTTTACCTACAGATGTGTTTGGCCAACTCTTATCTCAAATGACTTGAATGAATCTTCATGTTTTCAAGGAATCCAAACTCAATACATTTATTGACTTACTCAAGATACACAGCACTTAGAACCAGATTTAAATAATCCCTAACCCCCACCCCCACCACCTAGCTACCATCTGGGCAGAGGGGCAACATACATTTCTAGAAAATAAGCCATGCAACTCCAGAAATAAAACTTGCTAGGGGAATTATAATGGAAATCGGGGAGAGGATATTCTGATTAATTACCTAACCCAATAAGAGCTATTCTTTTATTTCTTACTAGTGCCCCGGTGCACGGATTTGTGCACATTGAAAAGATATTAATTAGAAGGTGGCTAGCGTGGTGGGACTGTGTGAGATGGACTGGACACGCCCTGGAGCCAACCTCCCTTGGTCCTTCCCTGGCCGGCCGCCCTGGCACTGCAGCTCGACGGGCATCTGTGGAGTGAGCAGGGTCCCTCCGGCAGGTGGGGTCTCTTGGCCTGGCCTGTGGGGATCGGGCCAAAACTGGCTCTCTGAAATCCCCCAAGGGGTCCTGGATTGCAAGAGGGCAGTTCTCAGGTGACCTACCCTGGAATTGGGCTCCATCCTCTCTGGTTCTGGGGTGCATCACCCGAGAACCACCACTACCAAGTCACTGCAGCTCAGCAGCTCCTGCGTTGAGCATCTGCACCTTGGTGGTCATTGTGAATCATAGCTACCGGTCTGACAGTCACTTAGCCTTTTATATATATAGATAGTTCATGGGTCACCTGCCTCCTCAATAGGTACAATACTTATGTTATAGTTGTGCATTTCCTTTCTCATATGGACATGCTTTTATGGAATCTTTTCCTCTCCAGGAATACAATTTTTCAAATAAATAGGAATTAGAAAATTACTTCTGAAAGGTCCATAGACATTGTAATTCTATTCAAGGGACTCTAAGATTCAAGGGACTACACCTCTCAGCAATGAAACACTTCCCACTTCCCTCAAGGGAGTACCTACTCCCTCTCCTAGCCTAAAGGCAGATTTTTCATCCCTTGAAAACTTTTTTTTTTCCTTGAAGCCTTTTTGTCATACTGTATAAATGTATCTGCTATGAAACAGAGTAACACTGTGGGGTGGCGGAAAAACAAACAGGAGAAAATGCTCATTTTCTTCCTCTTTCTTCAGAGGTTTTACTTGAGAGGGAAACACGTTTACCTTCTTGCCAGTTAAAGTCACAGGCATTAGGCTCATGTCTCTTTCCTCTGTTTTTAAGTGTGCTACTTCCCTCCTAACTCTGCTGTTTCTGGTCCCTGTCCTGCTAATCTATTCTGCCCCCTGCTGGCAGTGATCTTGATAAAGTGAAAATCAAATCCAAGTCTCTGTCCTCCTTACAATGCTTTGTCAAATGCTTTACACAAAAGCCTTGCATCACCTGTCTTTCTCTTACCCCTCCATTTTACCTTTGATCACATCCCTTCATGCACATTATTTTAGCCAAATTGAGCATCTTGTAGATTTCCAACCGGCCAACCTCTTGAATGTGCTTCTACCTCCAATCCACCTAACACAGGTTGTCCTTCAGTCTCAGCTCAAACTATGCCTGGGAGAATCTCCGGATCACTCACCTTGACCACCAGCAGTGCACACAGTCCAACAGTCCTTCTCCAGACTCCCACAGTGTATTCCACATCCATTCCGGCAGAGCAGTTTGCACTCTGCAGTGTCATTACTGGCTGATCTCCTACTGGTTTATTTGAAGTCAGAGACTGTATTCCATCTGTAAATCTAGTACCTAGCTAAGTACCCATGGGAGTAGCCTAATCCCTGTTAAATTCAACAACAGATCACTGCAGAAGTTAAAATAAACTGAATAACTTTCAAAAAACCCAACAACCCACCACCCCAAAAACACAATAACAAGAAGATGCAAGCTGTTGACTTATACAGAATCATTATTCAACTTTCTAGACTCCATCATTCTATTTCCTTCTGAATACCATTTGCCTATACATTTTAGTCTGTCTAATTTCTTTCTTCATCTGATGTTTTTTACCACCCCTAACACTTGATGGTAATTAATAATATCTGTGCCCGCAGGTCACTGTTGAATAAGCCAGCACAAGTAACATTCTACACCACAATGTCAGGAAAATAAAACAGTAAAGGCATTTGTATCCTAAAGGTCTTTTGCCATAATATGGGGAAAGAGTAAGATGACCCAAAATAATTACAAAGAATAACAGCTCCTGCCACAGATTGTCAAGTCATTCCAAGAATGGAAGAGAGTTTGGGTCAATGGAGTAATAACATAAAAACCATCCAAATGAATAGACTGCTTTTACAAATGGGAAAGTGAAGATACTCCAAACTATTATGCCCCCAAATATGTAACTGCACATTGTACAGTAGGCATAGAAATCAACCAGTTCTATGTATTGATTCCCACAAATGTTTTTTTTTCCTTTGAATGGGAACTTTCAGATCATTTTTCTACATATGAAGTCCTTATTTAAGAAGACCTGTGCTAGGTTATGGGGACTTAAAATCCACATAGTTATTACAATGGAGAATGTTAAAGTCTACAAGGGGATATAGTTGTCTAGTTTTATCTAATAAATCTGTTCATGAGAAGCTATAACAACCTTATATTGTCTCCTACTATAGATCAAATCCTGCCCCCATCTCTCTCCTCTTCATTTCCACAGTGATATGTAGACCTGCTTTGACCATTGAACAGAATGTCTAAACATAACAGCCTTCAGTATTACTGAAAGGGCCCTGCATACTTTAAAAATAAAAGTTATTCTACAGCTACATTGGACTTCAAAGTACTAATCCAGCACATTCTTCTCATTAATTTTTACATATTTGCATATATGTAATTCTGCTAACAGAGGATGAAGGAAATAAAGGCCTGACTAGAGAAAGGCCTTATAAGTTGATGTCCACTCAAGAAATAGACACTTGTACTGGCCACCTGAACGAAGTATAACAAGTCACAGCAAGGTAAATGATCTTTGGGGGGAAAGTAATTTTTTAAAGCTAGCTTTGTCTTCATAATTTCTGACAATATTTGCTGATTGCAAACTCTGCAGAGACCATCTAAAGCCCAATCTCCTGTATGAATATCAACCAAAAAATACCTCTAATGCCTGCTCCTGGCTTGCTATTCTGCATCAAAGCAGCCTGACGTAATAGGACCAGTGGACCATTACTGACTTTGAAAGCTGCCCCTTTGAATGGTAGAAGGAGCAGTTTCTGCAGTCAATTCACTGAGATCTCATTGGAAGGCATTTTAAAGGGTGTTCAGGATAAAACCCACAGATCCTCTTGTTCCCCAAGGATACTTTTTTTACTTTAGATTACAAAACAGGAAATTAAAGTGCTCAACCAAAATCCCTGATAGGAAATATAAATCTCTAGAATGCTTTAATGATATTAATATCTCCTAAATGCCTAAAATTATTTCCTTAACAATTAGTTCAGAGAAAATGACATCCTCTTCCATAAGGCCCAAACATTCAAAAGTTCTGCTCTGAGAAATGACCTCTCTGACCCCAAAAATAATAAATTAAGAACAAGTGGCCTTTTTTCCCCCTTTTCCTTTTTATAAATTCTACGTTCTATCTATAGTGAACAAATTAGAGACAACCCTCCATGTCAACTCTTGGAGAGGCATTTCATCATTTCTAGAAGTGGATTAATATGTTGGTGGGTAGTCACAATATGGGGTGCTGTCAAACCTCTTTGGTCCCCCTGAAACAGAATCATGTTCCCATCCCCCAGAGGTCTTGCCTTTGATGCTATTTTTCATGCATTGATCTGGGTTTTCTGCCACTCTTTCAGAAGAACAGAGTTCAGCCCCCTCCCACAACTGCTGCTGTCCAAGAGGTGTGACAGCTTGAAGGCCTCCCAGGAGAAGATACCAAGGGTTACACAGGGCATCTTTCAGTCCAAAGGGATAATGGGAACAAGAACCTTCTCTACCTTGCAGGTCAGCTTTGGTCAACGCAACTTTGTTAGCGAAAGAACAGGAAAGGTGAAAACAATAACCAGAGGTTAGTAAGAAGTAGAGTAAACCAGGGTAACATGACAGAAATGAAAATACAATTGGCATAACCAACATCACTCAAACAGACAATTGAAATGCTCTACAGGTTCTCCAGAGACAGCACAGACAGGGGATGCACAGAACAGGGCGGAGCAGGCCTTGTCAGAGCCATGTTAGCAGAGCAGGGGCAGGGGGACACTGGACTAGACAAAGCACAAGCAGAGGTCACAAGAGCCTTCCCCCATCCACACAGCCAACCCCCAGGCATATGGTCCAGAAAAACAATTCTTCATCGGTCAGGATAAACATCAAAGAATAAGAGTAGTACATGGTCAAACTGAAACACACATGTGCACAGAGCCCACAGAAATAATTCTGCACATGTAGGAGTTAAGCATGGAAGAGTTGCTGGGAGCACTACACACAACCTACTGAAAATGCCACCAAGGAATGTAGCCCTAGAATTGGGCATTTGTATCAAGATGATTTGGGGCCACCAAAGAGCTTGATTTGTTTCATGTATAGCAATATAGCCAAATGCAAAAGGCTGTAGACAAAAAGGCACCAAATCAATGCCCTTTCACTTTATTCATGCTAGTCTCAAAATTAAGTATGGTGTTTCTCTAAGGGTTTCCCCATCTGTGATTGTGGAATTACATTCTTAACTAGTATATGCCTCTGAAGCAAAGCTGGCCCCAGATAGAAAGAGAGATTTACCAGCTGATTATTGAATGAAACATTATTATCCAGTTCCTAGTTTTGAATAAGACATTATAAAACTCCTAGCCCAAAATGCAAGTCACTGTTAGATGTTGGCTAAGAGTTGCCCAGAAGTTGAACTTAATCTAAATTATACACCTACATATATATGAGACATAAATTTGAAACCTAATTCCAGATGTTGTTTTCTTAGTATAAACAATTGAGTGCCAGTGAGTAGTGAATTAACATGTTTTAAAAATAATTTGAACTCTTTTGGGTTAGAGAAAATAATACATTTACCAATTAAGCACCTTGAAGTGCCACTATCAATGACTTTTACAAGAACATAAGATATATCCTGGATTCTGTATACCAGATATGTAAAAATAAAACATATTACCCTATGTTGAAGAGATTCGGGTTTTTATTCTTAGTAATGACTCCTCATCCCCTACCTGTTTCCTATTCCATACATAAAAATAAGTCAGATGTTCCCCATATTGTCCAATACTCAAAGGCTTTCTTGAGGGCCCCATATTCTATACAGAGATTCAGAATGACAATGACACTCCCTTGTAGTCTCTCCAAGGTTCTGTGCCCTTGATTCCCATCCCCATCATCTTCCACAGCACCCTAAAGAGCTCCTGGGATCTCTTAGATGGGCTTATTCACAATGGTGCAAATTTCCAATGACAGCAATTTATGCTTTAACCCACTTTTTGGCCATTTTTCCAGGCCCCTTAGGCTAATTATCCAAGTCATCTGTGTACAATAAACAAGGACCTTCTTCCCTCAGCACTCATCCTCCACTTCATCCCACCCAGCAGGGCAGTCATAATGTGCCATGGGTAACCATCACAATTATCTCCATGGCAATAGAGTGCAGTGCTATTAGGCCCAAGGGACTTGCCATAGATTCAGATGGTGGAGCCATCAAGTCACAATATTCAGCTCTGAACAATCACCCATACTCAGAGGAAGGTCAGAACCCACTATAATGCATGGGATGAGTCACATCAAACTGCACATAGAGCTATAGGTAAGGATAGGGACATTTTCTCTGATCTAATGGACAAGTTCTGTTCACTAATGCTCATACTGCTTTTCATAAAGCTTTCTTAACTGGGGCCATTCACACTTTATGCTATATGTTTCAATCCCCTTTTATAAAAGTTCATTTAGACTTCCTTTTAATTCAATACTACAGCTTTATGTCCTCACACTTTGATTTTCATATTCAATAGAAATGTTCTTCCAACACAGTGACTACTGAGCATTTCAAAGGCGTGTGGTCTGAATTGGGGGGGGGGGTTTACTAGTATAAAATCCACACTTGATTTTCAAGGCTTAGTATGAAAAAATAGCAAAATGTCTTCATAATTTTGTATTGATTATAAGCTGAAATGGTAATATTTTGGGTATATTGAGTTATGTTAAATGAAATATAAAATTAAAATGAATTTTACCTGTTACTTTCTACCTTCTAAAAATGTAGCTACAAGAAAATTTAAAATTACATATGTGACTAATTATATTTCTATGAGGCATATTGCTATAAAGTTAAAATGGGTGATTTCTATTAACTTTCTTAAAGGAGGAATTGATGGCATGGTAAAAATATTTAACATTTGAAGCATGCCTTATGCTTTTCAATACGTGCTTTTATTGTATGATTTAACTTGATATAATTAATTATTCCAGGATCATTGGAATGACTGTCATTCCACAATCTTCTAACCTAAGACACCCAATTTAATTTCCAAATGCTGCATCTATCTCAGGATTGCTTTTTAACACCTGAAAGCATTAAAAGCAGGCAATAAGACAAAAATTCTTTAGTTAATTGAAATTGTGCATTCCCAGGGGAAGAAAGCAAAGTGTCTACTTTAGGTACTTGGTCATTCCCAACTTTCTGTCCCTCATGTATGCACACACCATGTTTGGCCCACAGAACTTGAGATATTCCTGGCTAAGGGGAACTACAGTGGGTTACAGGAACAATCAGTTTTATTATTAATGCCTCATGGGCAACTGACTCTCAGAGAAGGAGAAACAACTTCCATACCACAAATCAGCCTGGGGAGCTGATGGGAAGCTTTTATAAAAATGTGCTTTAAGGTGGCGAGCAAATCCAGCTGAAAGCTGGTTAAGAATAGAGCGATAAATGAAGTTGAACACAGGAGATGAATTAACAGGTTTGATGTAGTAAATCAGCGATTTTCAACCAGTGTGCCACAAGATTTTTTGAAACGTGCAATACCTACTTAGTCAAGGACACTGGCCTCTTTTCCCTACAGTGGTTCTCAACCTTCCTAATGCCGTGACCCTTTAATACAGTTCCTCATGTTGTGGTGACCCCCAACCATAAAATTATTTTCGTTGCTACTTCATAACTGTAATTTTGCTAGTGTTATGAATCGTAATGTAAATATCTGATAGCAGGATGTATTTTCATTGTTCGCAACCCACAGGTTGAGAACCGCTGCCTTAGATTGTCAAATCAGAAAAAATGACAACAGCCAACACAATAGCTGTCTGGTATGAATGAATCAAAATTATACCTATTCTTTTTGTCAGATAGGCAAAAAATATAAAACTTGTTTTGGTATGCCACAGAATTTTAGTAATTAGTTTATGTGCGCTGTGTGATAAAAAAGGTTGAAAATCGCTATGGTAAATTAATGAGGAATACAAGAAAACACAATATATTGCACAAAGGACCATGAAGCTCAACCAGACGAAAGAACACATAGATCCTTGTGACAGGTCAGACATCCTCTTTGCCTGTCCAGTTTGGTAAGAGTCACCTTTTCAGCCTACCCAGAGCATTTAGGAGAGGCTGAAAATATTCACTTCTACCCTCTGCTGGCTAGAACTAGGTTGTTTTTACATAGAGGAAAGAACTGTTGGACTCGAAGATCTGTACAACTGAGTATATGAAGAGACAGTGGATCACCTAAAGAAACAGGCTGAGCATGGTTTGTTGTGCGGCACTGATGAGTATGTGATGTTATTATGTGTCTCACATAAAATAATACCTGTAAATAATAACCCTACCATTTACTGAGTACTTACAAGGTATATACTAGGCATTTTATGTATATCTCTGATTTATGGATGTTAGCTTCCAAGGTGAGTTTTATTGCCTCATTTTACAGATGAGGAAGATGTAGATCAGAGAGGTTATGTAATTTGTCAAAGGTCACACAGCTAAGAAGAACTACTCTCTGGACTTCAATCTAAGTCTTTTCAATATGAAAGTTGTTCCACCACACCACACCAAGGCTCTGCTTAACAAAGCCTGACATCTAGTAAGTACTCAATAAATGTTAGTTTCCTTCCATCATTATGGCATTCTGACATCGTTTTCCAATCTCCTGCTAATGCAGTCACCATTAGCAACATAGGAAACATTTTGTTAATGGTGACATCCATAGGATGTAAAAAGTCTCTAGTTTTTACCTTCCCATGTAGTAAAGTATAAATAAAAGTCCCCGATGCCCTTTCAGCCATGCTGGAAGCAAAGGCACGAGTCAGGAGAAGCCTGATGTCAATGCCAGAAAAGGTCCTCAATCAGCAGGTATGTGACACTGGAAAGACATCAGCCAACATACATTCCTGGAGCAGGTGGCACATGTCTTCACATACTAGGCAATGACAGAGGACACTGATGGTGATGCAATGTTGGACAGTGAATGGGGAATAAGAGAGGACTGGCCAACTGAGGAAGGAGGCACTGGCAGAGGCAGCAAAGAGGCTCGGTGCTTGCAACAAGGCTACTGCTTAACAAGAAAGAAGGCTGTACCTTCACAGCCACGCTCGATCTGTCCGCTCCGATGGAGGGCATCATTGATGAGGTCTGGCAGGCGCCCGTTCAGGTCCACTGATGCCAGACAGCCCTGAAAGCCATCCCGGGAGGCCACAAGCTTTGGGAGGTTGCTATACATGCCTTGGGCCAGACCCGCCATGTACAGGTCACCTGGAAAGGAAAGCAGGTAGTAAAAGCAAATGAGTCAAGGACTGGAAACCTGGTCAACTAAAGCCAATGTACTATAGGCCATTTATTTAGATAATGGTAATAGATTGGGGGAGAAAAACAGCATAATCAAAATAATTACCAGAGTTTCTACATTATACAAAGAGAAAACTAACATTTCTTATGTGTCATTCATTTTTTAAACATCATCTCACATTAATCAGCACATATATTCTAGGAGGCAGGTACTGTTACCATCCTATATAACAAAAGCCCAGCAACTGAAATGGCAGAACGACCAGAGACCAGAACGACCACGGCCCCTCACCCTGGCCGGCTGGCCCCCAGTGAGTGATTAGGGGCAATCAGGCAGGCGAGTGGTTAGGGGTGATCAGGCAGGCAGGTGAACAGTTAGGGGCCAGCAGTCCCAGATTGCGAGCGGGATGTCTGACTGTCAGTTTAGGCCCAACCTGCAGGGATCCCTATGGGATTGGGCCTAAACTGGCAGTTGGACATCCCCTGAGAGTTCCCGGATTTCAAGAGGATGCAGGCTGAGCTGAGGGGAACACACCCGCCCCCACATGAATTTTCGTGCACCAGGCCTCTAGTTTTATAATAAAGCTTAACATTTCAACAAATCCATTAATTGAGTGCTTTGCATGTGCCTATTACCAATGTGATGCTGAGGGTTTTACAGACATTATTCCATCAAACTACTTAATAACCCATAAACTTAGCAACAATTACTATCCTCATCTTGAAAAAAAGTATACAGAAGCTGTCTAAAAATTTTTACCAAAGTCCTCCCATACAGTAAATCATTCAAGTGAAGTTCCAAAACCTGGATTCCCTTATCTGTGTTAGGGTCTCTTCTCATTTTGCCATTTATCTCCTCATCACTTAGCCCCCAAGGCACACTCAGAAAATGAGCCATTCCTTGAGGAGTGGTCTAAGTAAACACTGAATACATTACCTTATAGTATAATTCAGTGTCATTAAAAAAGAATATGCATAATGAATCAAAAATACAGAGTGCTCATAAACTGTAGTTTGCCTCTGGAAACAGCCTTTCAATGGTAAGAAATGCTCTAACAAGGATAAATTTCTCTATAAGGTTTACCTTTCAAATCCAGATTTTTGGCACCATTGATAACCTGAGTGACCACTTTCGTGTCCACTTTCAGGCTGTGAGTGTTACTGTTGTCCCGAGTGATGACGACGTTGTGCCACTGGTTGTCATTCAGGGGGCGGTCACTGTTGCCCTTGATCACATTGGGGCCATTCCCCAAGTCAAACACGTAGTGGATGTACCTAGGAGGGAAACAACCCTCCAATGACTTAAGATTTCCTGAAGTCGTTTAATGGCAATGTGTGCATAATGACATCTGAGCCTTCAAATCACCTACGCTAAACTGGCACCACACAGGAATAATTAAAGCTTCTTGTATCCTAATAATTTAGGAGTCAGATCCTATTCTATCAGACTTCACTATCATTTGATACTCACAGAATCTACTTTTTTAACACTACTTAGGAAAAATAAGAGCCAGAAAGTAGTGCAGGTGGTATGCTCCAAAATACTAGGGGGCAACATTTAAATTCACAGTCAATCATAGGTCTGTTTGGGGGAGTTTTGTTCTGGCTTTGCTTTTGTTTTGACTATTATTTCTCATCACACGGCAGTAAAATGTCTTGAAGATAGAACATATTTTTTTTTAAAAAAAATTACATTTATGTTCTCATGATAGTACTGAAAAAATATATATATTTCATTTGTTCCTATAAATGTTATAGTTACAGATAGTACTGCTGCCCCAAAGAAAGATACAATGTACCCCCTATTCTTCTTTTGCAAATATTAGGTTTTTTTCATAGGTTTAATGGCTACATTTCATAGTAAAAAGTCTGATAATATTGAGTTAGTAGAAGATTTTAAATAAACTTATTCTCTTCTAGCCATAATCATCACATAAATATATTAACCAATGAAAGCATGTATCAGGACACATTTTCTCATGTCCCTACTTTATGTAAGTCTTATGCTGAGATATTTAGCATGAACTATATGATCCCTTCCACTTACCCCTTGACTAGCTCAACAGCAATGAAGTCATTGCCATCCCCACTATTGAAGAGAATGAAGCCATCGGCTGAGGTGGTCTTAAACTGGAAGAAGAGGTGCATGGAGGTGTAGGCCTGCAGGGTAGCCAGGCTCAGGTAACTACTCTTGGTCTTGAAGGTGACAGGGTCAGCAATAATGTTCCTCAGTCCAAAACGAGCCTTTAGTTCACAGTAGTCAATGTCGCCATTTTTGCACAAGTCAATGTAGAGCAGGCCATTAAACATGAGGCTCTGCAAGTGGCCAATGAAACTGGAGGGGACAACGGAGATGTAACGTTTCTCGGTCATGATACCAGTTTCAATATTGTGGAATTCCAAGCGTGTGTGATCTCCAAGCATTGTACCTGTGAAAATCATAAATGAGATACCAATAAGAAAAGCTATCATGTTTTTGTCATAGCACCTTTATATATCTTTTAGGTCTAATCCCTGCCCTCCCTCCAACACACATACACACAATATTGTTTTCTTGAGTCAGTTCCAGAAAACAAAATACTCAATACACTATATACTTGATGTGGCCTCAGTGGGGGAGCTGGTTACTGGCCCAGCCCAAGCTACTACCCTGCATCCCACATTCTCATCCAGCTGCTCAGATGCCCCATCATATATGAAAAAAATACAAGATCATGGGTAACTCAAGTTAAAGGATAAAACTATTAGTTTTCTTCATTCAGGAAAACAATTGGGTCCTGGTATATACTATAAGAAGAAAAGTCTTTTTTTTCTCCTAACCCTTATTAAGACACAACAAACAAACCTTAGTTATTTACTGCCAAATAATTCACCACCTAATGATTCAGTAGCTACTACAGTCATGCACCACATAAGGGCATTTTGGTTAACAACAGACTGCATATACAACAATGATCCCATAAAAGTATAATGGAGCTGAAAACTATTGCCTAGTGATATTGTGTCCATGGTAACATCATAGCATAATGTATTACATGATTGTGGTGATGCTGATATAAACAAATGATGCTAGTACTAGTATAAACCAACTTACTGCTCTGCCAGTCATATAAAGGTATAGCACATACAATGATGTACAGGACATACTTAATAACGATAATAAACAACTATGTTATCAGGTAATGTATTTACCATACTATACTCTTTATCACCATTCTAGCATATACTTTTTCTACTTACAAAAAAAAGTTTGCTATAGAAAAGTATGTGGTATTACACTGGCAGCTGCCTCATTCATCTTGTGTTTAGCACATATTTTGATTGCATCATTTTCTCTTGTGCTTGATTTAATCTCATGTTGGTTTGTACAGTAACATACTATACAGGCATGTAGCCTAGAAACAATAGGCTGTACCATATAACCTATGGGCCTATATCAGGACACTTCTTCTCATGTCCCTACTTTATGTAAGGCTTGCTCATAGTAAGCCATACCACCTAGGTTTACATAAGTATACTCCATGATGTTCATACAACAAGATCATTAAGGCAGTGGTTCTCAACCTGTGGGTCATGATCCCTTTGGCGGTCGAATGACCCTTTCACAGGGGTCGCCTAAGACCATCCTGCATATCAGATATTTACATTATGATTCATAACAGTAGCAACATTACAGTTATGAAGTAGCAACAAAAATAATTTTATGGTTGGGTCACAACATGAGGAACTGTAATTAAAGGGGCAGAAAGTTGAGAACCACTGATCTAAGGCCACTTCCTTAGACCAGATCTTTGTTATTAAGTAGTGCATAGCTGTAATTCTGGAAAAGTTTCTATTGTGGAACATCTGTTAATTTCATTTTCCCAGCAACTGTTGCTTTTTTCTGATATTAACACCTGATTTTCTTTTGAAAGCTACCTTCCCTACTTTACTTTTAAACCATCTGGGATGGATGAAGCTGACCCCATTCTGAAGTATTCAAGCTACTTTGACTGAACCACTCAAAATATGTTATCCCCCCAGCCATAGAGTAAAACCTAAGGACTAAGAACTCTAGCATTCATCTCAGTCACCTGGAGGGGTTGCTAAAACACAGTTCTTTGGGCCCTACCCTCAGAGTTTATTATTCAAGAGTTTGAGGTGAGGCCTGAGAATTTGCATTTCTAACAAGTTCTGAATTGAAGCATATAAGACTGATCTAGAAACCACCCTCAGAACCACTGTACTAGCAACAACCCAAGCTGGTCCAGTAGTGATCAGCTTTAGGGATTTTGCAAGAACATTTACAAAAGAGTTGTCTTTGCAAGAAAGACTTGTTGAAGGGGTAAGAAGGAGCCTAGATTACCAGTAGCCATGCGATTATGGGAGAGACTGGGCCTGCCTGAGGATCTGGGGCATAGAAAACAAGCATGAAATGGAGAAACACGATTTTTCTAGGATGATGTCATTTGAAAATCTGGATCCAGGCAGTCAACTCAGACTTTAATTCCATTTTGTGCTTAAAGCCTTTGAGTTGAGCTCCTAATATTTGCAACGGAAAGATCTCCAGCTAATACAAACCATTAGACCTTTTTCCTCACCTAGTTTACCCATATCAGAAAATTATATAAGATCGAGATTGAAGAAGGGCTTGGATAAGTAATAGAAGGGAAACTAACAGTGGAATTTGAACACTTAGCCCAGGGCCAGAGACTAATTTGGGGTTCAGTGAGTGACTGAAGCAGGGATAATGAAAAGGGCTTGAAAAAGATACACAGACTGGAAATTTTAACAACAAAGTCAAGGAAAACATCATTAGTATGGCTAGAGTAGAAGGTGGCTCCCTGGACATTCACACAGAAATGAGTCAATAAAATTTAGCAAGTTGTTTCTTAATGCCTCAACGTTTAAGGGGAGGGAAGGGGAATTCCCTCTGCCTGCCGTCTCCTGTTATCTTTTACATTAAAGAGACTCCACCAGCAAGACTCTCCTAGCATCTCTTTATCCCATCCCTCTTTTATAACTTTCCAGAAAAAAAAGGAGTGACACAATCTAAAAGATTAAAGACAATCTGCAAAGCAAAACTATGTGCAGAACTCAGACCCTGGCACTTTCTGTTTCCCTTTAGGGGAGCAAGCTGCCTTCAGGAAGCACCCAATCTACCCCACTCACCTACAGCATGGATGTTGGAGGAGCAAGCCTTGCTTCAGCAGAGGCTGCCTGCCCCAGTCCTGAATGAGTGTTCAAGTGAGCAATTCCATCCAATCTCAGTTCAGTAGATGTAAACCACATCTTTCAATATCAGTGTTATCATTAATAAAAATTATATTTCATTTCTACCTGCCTTTCATTTTTCTCCTCTATTGGCATACAACTCAGGTGGCAAAAAAGAGAGGATCATTCATATTTTTTTGAGTCCCTTAAACTTCAATATCTAGGAAGTCCAAGAAGATTACACCCTCAGATGCTCAATATTAATTTTATCTCTATGGGAGCATACTTGAGACCTAATTCAAAAAAAATTGCTCATATAAACAAAAATCATATTTGCATTTATGAGCATCTATGTGGTATTTTGACAACTAGTTACAAATCATTCTCAATATAAGCAAAAACAAAATAATGATGTTGGTTAACTAAATATAAAAATGTAATAGAACAAAAATCAAAATGCAACATAAATCTGCTAACAATTGAATAACTAGGAAAAAGAATTACTGCATAAAATTACTTAGTATTGAAAACTGGACTGGTCATGAAAATGCAAAGTAGCCTAACCTAAATTCATGTGCTCTGAAATAATGAAGTAATGGAAATAAATACCCAATGTCAATTGCACTATAGCTGCTTATATCAGAGCTGGAGAATGATGGGGAGGCAAAAATCATAGCCAGTTTCCATGGGGACACAGGAACACCGAACCATGATGACGCTGGTGGTCATGCTAATTTTTACTTTACAAAAAACAAACAAACAAAACAGCAATGAGAACCAAAAAGCAATAATGGGATGCCCACTTGTAAAGATTGGGGTCCCAAAAGGAATCTAAAGAGTCTGTTTTAAAGTCAATTGGGAGCTTTTAAAGAAATTATGGATTAACTGACCTCCAAAATTGAGGGGTTAGGAAATTCTGCTCACTAGAATATGAATTTCATAAAGCCAGAAAATCATGTAAGGTAAGAAAATCATGTAAAAATTATATGAAAACCATATAAGATTGAGATTGAATAAGGGCTTGTATAAGTAATAGAAGGGAAAATAGCAATGGAATTTGAACACTTAGTTCAGGGACAGAGACTAATTTAGGGTTCAGGATGTCTACGAGCAGCTTTCACCAAAAATTGGTGAGGGGTGCGGAGAAGGTGATGTGAGGTCAAATTAGAAAAGAAATTCATTTCTCCATACACTAAAAGAAACTCCTTTTCTGTGGGTGCAGGTTCCCAAATAAGTATGCTATTTTACCCAGAGAAAGCATTAAAGGCATTGCTTAAAGTTTCAAATGTGTACAAATTAAAACATTTAAAAAAAATCTCTGTATTACCTAACCAGTATTAATAACCAGGAACCTTTTCATTCGTCTTCTCTGAAGACCATCTGTAGACTAAAACTCCTTTCCAATTAAATGTGAAATGGATGCACACTCCATAGCAGCTGCTTCCCAATTTTAGAGGAAAGAGGAGTAACTGGGGAGAAAGATATCAAGGGAAAACCAAGACTAGTGGCTATCCCTTAGCCAGGCACTGTGCTAGGCACTTCATAACCACCATCGAGGTCATGATCTCAATAAAACTGTAGGAAGGTATCATTATCTAGGTTTAGATGTGTGGACCCTTAGCTTAGAGAGGTCAAGAAATGCGACCAAAGTTTATACAGGCGGTAAATAGTAGAGCCCCAAATTGAACTTAGATGTATTTAATTCCAAAGTCCACATCTTAACTTACATTTCTTTCTTTAGAGAAAAGGCTTGACTGGTTCCTTACATTATTACCCAATAAAAGTCTATAGATGGAACTTAACTGGTGAGAAGTCCACACAGAAGCTGCTGTGATGAGTTCACACTTCTTCCCAGAGACCGAGTATCCTAATGCCATAGGCAATATATGCAGCACCTTCCCTAGCCCAGCTATGTTGCCTCAGACCCTGTGCACACCTTCACCTTCAACTTTCACTGAAGGCCAACAAGGGTTTACAGACCAGCCCTCAGGAGGATGCAGTTTGTGGAGAACATAAACCATGGAAAACTTGGCCAAGTTCAAGCTGTAGCTGCCCAGGAGACATTCAAATATAGTGGATGAGCATGTAGGCTCTGAGGCTAGACCGCCTGGGTTACCTAACTTTTCCGTGCCTCAGTTTTCCATCTGTGAAATAGGTATGAAACTATCAGGATTAAATGTATCAATGATGAAGACAGTACTTAGAACAGTGTCTAGTGCTCAAACTGTAAGCTGTTACTAAAGCTTCAGCATTTATTTTTCCCCTTTGTCTAAAATATGTTAGTTTTCTGATTACTAGTATGTCACCTGTTTTCTCTCTCTTCTGAGAACACAAGATCTTTAAGTAGGAACCACTTCTTGCCTCTTCTAGATGTCCTATAGCAGAGGGCCTGAGGGCAGCAAGCATGCCTGGCACTTGGGAAGGAGGCTGTATTAGAGACATCTACTGTGGAGTCAGAGTCTGGATCATCACCATTTCTTCACATGGAGGACCTGGCCAACACCAAGAGCTTGGCAAAGAAATCATGGAAATGGCTTAGCGGAGGCAACTTGACCTCCCAGTGGCTCCCCGACATGGAGAGAAAAGTGAAGAAAAGAAAGGCTTCCAAAGGCTCAGAAAAGGATGCACAATTTACCACAATCCTCCAGCTCTACTGCTCCCATACCCTTTTCTCCACAATATGTTGTGGAGAAACATTTCCCACATGCATATGCTGTAAAATGCTTTAATAAAAAGAAGTTCTGGAACCAAATAAATTTGGTAAACACTGCACACTTAATTATTGATGATTGGCAATGTGAATTAGCATATTAAAGGCTCCTAATAAGTCTTACAATAAAGAAATCAACTTCATGCTGTTAAACCTAACTTTTCTAAATCTTTCTCTGATATTTTGTTAATGTGAGGAAGAATTTTCCCATGGAAATCTTGGGCCAATGGCTTTTCACAGCGAGGTCCTGTACGTGCAATATGGGGAGAGAGAGGGAGCGGGAGAAGGCAGCATGGACCAGACTGGACAAAGAGGGTGAATTTTTGCACCAGCAGGAAGTTCTTGGTGGTGTGGTCAATTCGTGCAGCATTAGCCCCAATCTGAGGAGCATAGCCCAAGGGAGGTAGTCTTTTAATTTATTCTTGATAATAGAAATCCAGGTTAATCAATCAATCAATCTTTATTAACTGTCAACTGAACTTAATACATTTCCAGGAAGATATTATATTATAATAAATGAAAACCACCAGGCTGAGGAATATTTATTTCCTTGCTTTTGATTTCTTATGAGTCTGACCTATTCTTTGCATCATTTCTACAAACTAGCTGAAAATTTGACACCCTAGGGGACCTTAAACAGCATGAAAGGGATTACTAAATAAGCCAATAATACACTACTTAATAACATGAGGACTGAGTGGTATTTTAATTTCATTGCCTGGTTTTATGACTTCTGTGAGCTAAAATTAAAATTCCCAAACCCCTTATCACTGTGAAAAGCAATCCAATGTTGTAGCTCATACACAAAATGGCTCTTTTCTTCTCCCAGATTTCTTTATCCTTATGGCTGCTTTTTTCCATCAGCGGCAAAGTAGGGGGTAAGGCGGAAAATGAAAGAGCTTCATTAATTTCAAATATCAAATTACTGGATGGCTTGGGCGTGCCATGGTTTAGTCCTGTTTTTAAATTATTAGTAGAAAGAGGAAATACACTTCATAATTACCTTTATTCTAAAATTTCTGTAAAGGAATAAGGACTCAGGGAGGCAATACCAATTACGTACCCTCAGTTCTGGGGCTCCTTATGACTATAGCTTTCAAGCATGTGATTTCTTATAGAAATAAAAGGGACTCACTGTTTGGAGAGATTGGTGTGAGGTCGCCATCTAGTGGCTGGTATTCAAAACACACAGCAAACAGCACTGCTTTGGGCTTTACTGGGCTAAACCCAGAGGAGTGAGCCAGGCATGTGTCACTGAACTGCCTTTGCAGGCTCCTGTCTGCACTAACACCTCATGGGGAGTTCTTGAATAATTAATTACTGTTGGCTGTGGGTTCTAAACCTTTAACCATTTTTACATCTCTTTGTCGACATTCATTACACAAGGCTAAGTTACCCTGCCGGCCTACAGAACAGTAACCTTACCTCCCACTATAAGTTAGGTCTATGTACATGTGGAAGGCTTGCAATAGCACTGTGGCTCTGTCTTCATTTTGGGAGAAGGAGAGTGGATCTCAAAGTCTACCTGCTGAATTGTATTCCCCACCTCACCCTAATCCCTACTTTGTACGACAAATCACTTTCTTATGTTGGATTATGATGCCCAGCAAGCAGCTTGATTTGGTGGAATCACACAGACATGAATTTTGAGCTTATGTACATAGCTCCCTCGAAGTTTCAGGTTCCCCTTATGTAAAATGACAATAAGAACACTAACCTTGCAAGGTAATTTATAGAACGACAGAACACTAAAGGAGCTGATATGAGTAAGACAGCTAACTTAGTCCTTAATGATAACTGGGCACTGATATATGCCTCATGCTCTTCCTCCACCCAGAGACTCTCCTTCTGTACACACACACACACACACACACACACACACACACACACACACACACCATGCTCACTACTATTACTGACTCCAGAAGTAAAAAGGGCTCAGGCTTGTGAATATAAAATTAAATTATAGGATCAATATTGCAGAAACTTTATACTAAGAAAGAACCTCAGCAATAATGGAATTTCCAGTTTAAAAATAAAGAAATGAGTAAAAAGAAGTTTAGTATACTTATCCCAAAGGCATAAAGCACTGTAGTGACAATGACTGTATTAAATCCCAGGCCTCCTGATCCCAATCTGATGGTCCTAATCACAGAAATTGCTTAGGCCACGGACTTCAATTAACAAAGCCCAGAAATGGTGACTTTTCCAGCATCCTGCATAGAATCAATATCAGAGTCCAGTTCCTGATGCCAACAGTGTTCCATGTAATACCCCTGCTGCCCCAAGTTTTCTTTTCCCACATGGACAAGAATCCTAGATAACAGGTGTGCACTGCTGTGGAACAGAAGAGGGTGTAGATTTATGGGATGCAACATATAAGATGCACTTGAAAGTGACCTCTCTTCCACTCTAGACCTCATTAATTACATTCACACATCAAATTCCACCTGAAGAACTGTCTTCATAAACCACTTGTGCAATCTCCAGCCCCAACTTATAATCTCTTCTGATGGACAGTTACAATCTAACCCACACAAATTAGGAGTTCATTATATTGCTTGTCTTATTTTTAATTACCCGAGTCATATCTAACTTACTAGACTGATTCATTGAGGATGTGGGTAATCTCATTTTTCCTTTTATACTCTATAATCCTCAGCATTCTACTGACATATAACAGGCTCTCAAGAAATATGTACTGCTTGTGTGAGGAGCTTAAGGTCTCTCACCTAGGTGTGGATTCATTCACTATTTCGTAATGAATGAAGTTTACATTCACTGCCCTCCTAGAATGTAAATTCCCCCAGGCCAAGGACTTGCCTATTTGTTCATCACCATATCCTCAGTGCCTTCTAAAGTAGCACTTGGTACAGAGTAGGTACTCAATTAATAAGAACTAAATAAATGACTGATTATTCAGCACCTTCTAAGTACCATGCACTGCTTGAGGTACTGACTTTTCCCTATTGTTCTTGGAATTTCTGGTTTATCCATCTCCCTCTACCAGAGAGTGACTGATGCATGCATTGAGGGGAGAAATTTGGTATTGGGGAAGTTGACTGATAACCGCTTTTTAAATAACTGGATAATAGAAGGATCTGAAGAACCTTACATCTATTCTCCAGACACATACTAGACTCCTAAGAGACCCATCAATATATAATTACAGTACTTGGTCAGTTCTTTAATACAGATCAATTAAAAGGGATTTTGAAAATACAGAGGAGGACCTTCTTAGCCTTGCCTGAGCTTGTCAACAGAGAACATCACATGTGACTTCTATTAATCCAAATAACATGTTTGGAAAAAAGCTCTTGAAGCACTGAATGACTAAGAGGACTAGGAGGGCAAGGAGCAACACATCTCACTACAGCTGTACTCACCCTCAGCCACATCATCGTCCACAGTTAACTTAAGGCTCTTTCCTCTCCGCACCACCCGAACGGTGTGCCACTCATTGTCGTTGAGCTTCTGCCCGGCATACAGGGTCTCAGGTCCTTTGCCTAAGGATGGTGGTAAGTGCCAAAATTAGAACCGTCCTAAAAGTAGCGCTCATGGCATCAGAATTGCCAAAGCCACACTGGTGTCCATGACCTAGTAGCATTTAAGGAATTGTATCCCACCCCCACCCAAAGCCCATCCAGTGTTACTGATCTAACAGGACTCTTCCTAGTAGTCTCCTTGCAAAAGTCTTATTCAAACATAAAGGAGAATGACAAAGGAGTGAAAGAAATGGGTGCTCTCCTTTTTTTTATTAATACACGGTTTTAAGTGACAGTGACAGTAAGTGACAACTTACAGGAAACAGGAGTCAGTTATTATTTTGTTTCCCCAAATCTTAGATTTCAGATGAATTTCTTGAAGATACAGGAAATTCATCCCACATTTTAAAAACTCCTTTGGTCATTTAGGCATAGTACACCAGTCTGGCTTTTGGAGAATATCCACCCATTGGATGAGTGAAGATCTCTGTAACATATGCTCCTAACTTCACATTTCCCATCAGTCCCCATATAAACCATAATAGTAATCACCACAATAATAATAAATATCAAGGTCTAAAACCCATTATAAATAATGCTCCTGAAGGGAATTGGAAGCCCCCCTGAATTATCTCATTGTTCATCATTCTCCAAAAAGATCCAAACCCTACAAAATGAAATAATGTAAAATTCCAAAATTGAATCTGTTTAAGACAAAAGAATGTTTGGTGTCACCAAATAAAGGAATAAACTACGTTGTCTCAAAAGATCGATGCACAAGATGCTTGAGATAATGGTCAAGTACACCCTAGGAAGAATTGGGGGGAAAAAGAAATTATGGTATTTAGGGACAAAAGCTGGCAAGATAGATACTGAGGCATTAAGACAATTTGGCTAGCAATGGGGGAAAGAATGTCAGGTTTTACTCACCAGTGAACTGAGATGTACATTTAAAAGACAAGGAAGACTTTATAGAACCAAAGAACTTAGAGCGAGCTTGCCTTCTCTCTGTGAATAGCTGAGCCCACACAGAAAGATGATGCTTAAATCTTTAAGATATAGAAAGCCATATCTCTGGAAATAACTTGAAGAAAAAGATGAGATATGTAACTTGCCAATACACCCCTACACCTATTATGCATTGGAAATATTTCAGAAGATCATACACTTGGCTCTAAGGGACAGGAGCACTGGGCGAGGTACAAAGTAGGTGCTTTAATGAGTGCTCGTTAAATCCATGATGTCTACATGGGTCTGTCTTTCTTTCTTTGAAAAACATTAAATAAGGCCAATATATTTTATCTAAGTCATTTTGAAAGTTTCATTATATGCAGTGGGCAAATGTAGATTTACAGTTGTGTGCAAGCAAATCACAGTTTATCCTTGCATTGTTATTTATTCTTGTATTATCTAGTTGTACAACTGTAAACCTACTTTTGCCCACCCCTGTATAGCTTTTACTAGCTACTCTGCCTGCTTTTCTAGTCCCCAGACTGAATATACTATATACTATGTAGGGAAGAACATAAAAGAGAGTGTACTTGGGCAGAGATCTTTTAAACTAGCTAATTTTAAATTGTACCCTTCAATTTTGAGCAATTGGTATTCCTATTAAATGTGGGTTACATGAGATTTAATAGAAGTTGAAGTTTGGGGAAATTTTCTCCTTGAAAAATAAGCAGACTTTCAAAGTGGAAAGATTTCTTTGTATTGCAATGTATTCAGCAGGTGATTTGTACTTAAAATCTTCCAGAATGCAGCTACACCCGAAGTGCAAGCCAAATTCACAAGAATCCTGAAAATTCAGTGGAGAAACTTGGAGTGAACCAAGTGTACCCCGAGTTGGGTAATGGTTCTTTGAGATCAATGAATGGTAGAAAAAAATAATTCTATAATAAACAATTTGACATCCAATCTTAGCTTCTCTTTGTGAGGATGTCTGTCTTTAATATTACCTAAAATCTATACATTAGGACAGAATTTTCCCTACATTTCAACTCACTAGATAGCACTGTTCATCATCTCATTAAATTCAGGTCTAAGATGGATGTAGCCATCACCTTTACAACAGCAAGCTGTGTGGACATTGGGAGAAAATGGACCACATCATGTGGGTACTTTGAAGCAAGAACAGATGTTCTCCGAAGAAACAAATCTGCCTTTTTTATGTTTTTATCCTATTTATTCCACGTGCAAATATTTCGATAGGAATGAAGAAAGTAAAGGAAGATGTGGGAAATATTGGCTTATAGAGGCAGAACTGTTACAAATGCAGGCCCTCCATAGATGGCCATCTGTTCCGTAGGTGATTTTTGCACATCACTTAATGTTTATGATTGGGGACAAGATGAGAGGAAGCAATACTAACACATGCAGTCAGTTTAGGACATTGCCACATTAGTGCCATATTAGCCACTGAGATGTAAAACCAGCCTCACTCAGTCCAGTGCGTTTTAAATGCTGCTGACATTTTGCTGGGACTTCCACTCTTCTTGGTGTCCTTGAAACAGCTATTAAGGTCAGATTCAAACAAAAATATTTAACTGTCCATTTTGACTCTAGGACTTTAGGATGTGAAAAAGCCACTGAGACCTCACATGACCTACTGCCTGGTTACACTGGACACCTCCACCCCCAATATTCTTACTCTTGGAGTAGGAAAAAAGGTTCACAGCCATCTCCTTAAACTGCCAGGGAAATGAGTATTATTCAATATTCCCTTTCAAGCAATAAATACAGAAATCTCAGAGAGCTTCTGGAAAACATTTAGCCCCAGAAAGTGGAGGGTCAATGGCATTTATCTTTAATTGAGCTGGAAGATCACTTCCTGCTACAAGAAGGAAAGTGATGTTGAAACTCAGCTGGAAATGTAGGCAAACAGAGGGGAAGAGCAAATCTAATGTGGAGCCTAAGAATAACGTGAGATTAATAAAGTGATGCATGAGCCGACCCCAGCTGCAAGCTGAAACACACAAACCCTTAGGATTTAAAAGCAGGAGGATCTAGTCTCTCCGGGGAAAAAAAAACAAAAAAAACAGTTCTCCCTTGTAAGTCAAAGATGGTCCAGTTAAGAAGGAGAAACTATTTAAGTGGGAATTTGGTGGGAACTTAAACAGCAACAACAAAACTCAAAGTCATCAGTTGCCATGTGTTGCCTTTTTTCTTTTTAGTGGCTCGGAGAAGTATGATCTGCAATTAGGTACATATTGGATGCATGAAGTAGATGCTTGTTTCCTCCTTTCATAGCTTAAGTAGTAAATATTGATCACAAAAAAACAACAACAACCAAACAACCCTTTGATTCCCTTTTAGGCTGCTTAGATCCTCAATGTTTGATCTAAATCCATAAACTAGTAAGTTACCTGACACCCTGTAAATGAATTTCCCTGTGACTGCAGCAAAGAAACAAAATCACAGGTGAGGATTTGCAGGGTGCAGAAATCTGTCGGGGAGTTGAATTGTTCATTATTGTAGAACAAAGAGCCTTTAATGAATCCTTTGTGTAATATTTTCCAAATTCCCACCCTTGATCTAGTCTTCCTGCAAACCCATTTAGCATCATCTCTTTCAGTTAAGGCTTGTCTCATAGAAGTTGTCTAATTCACTGATGAATGGGAGGAAGAGAATGAGACATCCTGGATGAGGTACACAGACTAGACTGCTTAAATTATCCCACAGGAACCCTACAAAAGGCCTATTTAATAAGTCAGAACTAATAATAAAATCTAAATGAAAAAATAGGAGAAAAGCACTCTTTGAGAGAGACATCTCTGCTGATCGCTTGGAGGAAGATGACATGCAGATATTGGCAGATAATTCCCTGTTTCATCAGATAGGGAATGGGAGAATGTGGGGGAAATCTATATTGGAGCATTCTTAAAGGTACATATCTTCACAAGGTAAACTTTGAATTTTAATTATTTTTAAATTATATTTTTAGCAGGTTGTTCATAGTACATAAATTTTTTATTCCCCCCAGGAGCAATATAACCAGCAAAACTACAAGATACTCCCAATATGCATAAGTTTGTCAATATATTTCTAAGACCTAACCCAGATGGTTTTGCTCATATGCAGGAAGTAGACATTCCTTCCGTATGCCACAAAGTGCTGTTTCCAAAAGTGAGTGGGTCACATTTGGAAACTTTTTGTGCTTGGTGTGAGGGGGACAGGAAAGAAGAGGGCAGTACCTGTACCACATCACTTTGCTTTACCTAAAAATATTTCTATTGGTGTAAGCAGAAAAACAGGAACAATAACTTGATTTCTCTTGGAACTATGTTTCACATGAATCAAAATGTCTACAATGCATAAAAAAATATTAAAATATCTCCCTTGGAAAGGTATAATGAGTATACATCTAAATGATATGGTATATAAATACAACAGATGTCTGTGATAGGTTTAAAGAACACGAAGATTATTTAAAAAGAGGAAACTTACCTTCATCTCCACCAGTACCTTAGGTTAGGCTAGCTGAGCTGTGGCTATAGCACCATTTATTGTATCAGTCTTCCCACCCAAGAGAAAGGGTTAGCACATGAAAGTGGGGGTGAAGAGGAGAAAGAATGGGACCAAAGAATAAGGAGGGTAACAGTGAAATAGGAAATAAACATTTTATCTTCTGTCCAAAAAAAAAAATCAGGTTCAGAGAGGTAGAGGTACTTTGTTGTGTTTTTATAAACGTTTTTTTTTTTTCCTAAAGGCATCAATTTTCTTTGAAAAACTTTTAAATCATATTTAGTTAAAAAGCCAGTTTGGCAAAATATTTCATTTTCATTTCCAGTGGAGTTCTCAAGTCTCAGGAAATGCTGTCATACCTCCTGCCATGGCTGTGAAAGGTGCAAGGAACTTCCTGGAATCCTTAGATTCATAAGCCTCCCAGTGAGGTGTGTGAGAAAGACAGGTGACCCAGTTACATAACCTGAGTATAAGCAGCCTCCTCCTGGAGGACCTGTTTCTGTTAAACCCCACTAAAAACACCACCAGTATTTATCAGGCTGGAATAATTCAATGTACCA